ATATCATTTTTCTCGACAGTACCTTCCCTTTGCATATCGTGAAGACTTTTCCTTTTTTTTCGTATCGTTGTTATCCTTTCTTTGTACCATCTCATTAACGTTGGTATCTTTTTAAATTTTTTTTTGTCTATGTCTTTGTGCGTAGCTCACCAATCTACAAACAAAGTCAAATGGGCCGTCGTGCACCTAATCTGTTGGTGGGTGCGGTCTTTGAGATCGTCCGCGCGTGTGTTAAGGTATGCACGTTTATGCCTGTACAAGTTTGTATATTATTGTGAGTTAATATATATTAATATATTAAAATATGTTATTTATATGTTTATGTATAAATAATGATAGGATACGTTTATATATCAGTGCAGGTTAATAAAAGTTAATACATCAATTTATGTTCATATAAATATAGGTTTATATATTGATATAAGTTAATATAAATTTATACATTAATATAAGTGTACATACGTTTTATATATTGATACAAGTTAATATAAGCCTACATATTATATGCATATCTTCTTTGTATCCAGATCCAGTCTGTGCACTTCTTTATATACGTTGTACGTCTTGTTTTATTCATCCGTTATACGACTTCCTTTATGGTCTGATGTTTGACTACAAAGTTTTGCAACCGTTCGAACGCGCAGGTCTCGTGAAGTCTAAAAGCGAAGCGTTTAACGTAACGTATTGCTATTCCTATGGCGTATATGCACACTACGATTCTTCATATTTGTATATATCCTCTTCAAGTTGAGCCGACACGAACGGGGTATATTATCTTTCAGTGGGTGGTGTAGTGGCATGTGTTATTAGGGTTGTGTATGTGTATGGTGCTATAGTCTAAGCTACTAAAAAAATAACGTTTACGTTTATTGGTCTCTAGCCATACGCATTGTACAGTTAGTGTGTACTTAAGGTCTTGCCCGTTTGATTATATGTGTTACTGACCTGTACATGTATACCCGTGTTTGCCGCCTGCGTCTATATCTTATTCTATTCGACTCATCCCCCCAAACCCCAAACAACCCTCAAAACCCTAAAACCCTAACTTCCTAAACCATCTACAACAGACTGCTGCCAATCCGCAGCAACTACTTGGCTCGTCCACGTCTGTGTATTGGAGTGATGTGCTGAGCCGTTGCTTTGACTTTCTCACGTCAGTGCTACATCTGGAATCGGTGTGTGTTGTAACTACTGTCCACTACGACACAAATGACCTCGGATCGTTGTCAGGAATTGAGTACATCACGTATCATTCGCATGCATACGTTTACGTTAATGATGTTTCTGTGCTATCGACCACAATCCTAAACCCCTAAAACCCTGAACCCACAGGAATTGATCAAATCGCATATCCACAGTATAGGTCTGTTACCATCACCGCCGCATGCGAACACCAAAGCACATTCAAACCCCACTTTCAGAGATGTTCTGGTCAATGTGGAGCGGGTGCAGGTATGAGAAAGTATCAGGTGATTATTTTCATATGAATATGTTCATATACTTATACGAATACATATACTTATAAATGTCCTTATACGTACACTTATACATATACTTGTACATTACTTGGACATATACGTATACATATACTTGTATACTTACACATATACTTGTATAATTACACATATACTTATGCATATACTTGTACATGTATTTGTACATTGCTTATACATATACGTATACATATACGTATACATATAAGTATACATATACTTGTATACTTACACATATACTTATGCATATACTTGTACATATACTTGTACATTACTTATACATATACGTATATATATATACGTATACATATACGTATAGATATATTGTATACTTACACATATACTTGTGCATATACTTGTGCATATATAGATATGATTCGGCTGCCACGTTTTGGACAACTCGAATATGTCAAATATACGTATACATATACTTGTATACTTACACATATACTTATGCATATACTTTTGCATATATAGATATGATTCGGCTGCCACGTTTTGGACAACTCGAATATGTCAATGTATTTCTCCTGCTATGTTCTAATCATTTTAAAGTAAACTAGGCACCTACAGTGCTACCACAGTTAATCATAGGACACTACACTACTACATATGATATACTGACCATGTTGTAGTCTATTTCTTACGTCTACCTACAGCGCTATACACTAAAACATATGATATACTGACCATGTTCTGGTCTATTCCTTACGGCTACCAACAGTGCTACCACAGTTAATCATAAGACATCTACACTACTATACATGATTATTCTGACCATGCTCTGGTCTGTTCCTTACGTCTACCTACAGTGCTACCACAGTTAATGATAAGTCACCTACACTACTACACATGAATATTCTGATCATGTTCTGGCTTGTGCCTACCTCGTGCAGGGTACCTACAGTGCTACCAGGAGCTTTGTGCGTTTCTTCACGGAGTTGCTTAAACAGCCGCCGCGCGTGCCCTCGCGATTGTCCAAAGTCATCAAACCCACTGACACGGCTGAACTACTGACAAGTGAGGTGGTGCCAAAGATGTACTTACGCATGAGGTAGGCTCAGGGTTATATTCGTGTGTGTGTGTTTTCTAAATGGATATGCCTGTGTGAGTATATGTTGGGTTGTTGGCTAATGGTTTAGGTGAACTTAGGTTACTGTCACATGCGTGCATTTGTGAGATGTTACGTATGTGTATGCGTGTGTGTGATGGATTTTTGCCTAATGGTTGAGGTGTACTTACGCATGAGGTAGGTAAGCTCACGGTTATGTATGTGTGTTGTGTGTGCGTTTGCTAGATGGATATCCATTTTTGAGCGTATTATCTGCGTTAGTACGTATTCATGCGCTGTGGGATTGGCGTGTATGTATGTGCATGCATTTGTATTTGATATTTACTTA